TAGTTATCTGACCAACTGTAATAGCCGCATGTTACTGTTACGTTAAAATGGATCAAGAAGTTTAATGCAATGTCGTCATCAAAAGTTTAGAGGTGGAATCATCTACCGAATGGAACTAAAGTGAAACCGTTATTGTAAAGACATCTGGCTTGTCAAAAGATGCTAACCGTACATGATGAACTGGCAATAGTATTAACTGTTGACAACACTGCGCTGATTGGTCACAAAAAGCAAGGTCATTTAAACGAAGCGGGTTAGTCGCGACGCGTCTTCACGGACTGAGTAGCAACAATGTGGCTTTAGGCTTAGAAAGGCCTAGAACAGACAAAAATATGCTCAGGAGGTCCTCACCAGCAAAGAAGTTTGCAAGGCGATCACTGTGTTTTTGCGCGCTTTGCCTCTTCCGCTTCACGAGGTCTTTGACATTTGATTACAATTTCACCGCCAGTGATTTATTCACTATAGCGATGAATCTCACCGCCAAACCCGCGATTTAATTAATGGGGAATTTTAATGGGTTCTGCATTGTACAGCTTCCGTTCGTACTTCTAGCCTAGCCGAATCTCGGTTTTTTTTTAGGAATAACGCCTGGAACCACATTTACCCAACCAGTCCCGCCGCGCTAGCATGCTGTGCAGTATACGTTTCGCAGTAAATATGGCTATGTTAAAGTACCGTCACTAATGTGTAAAAATATCGATGAATATTGAAAAAGATTATTTCAAAGGTACTAATACAGGAGACACAAACAGTTATCAAAAATCTATCATTGCCGGTTTTTCAAAAATTGAAGAAGAAGAACAAAAAATGAGTTATACACAAAAAGAATGCAACCAAATTTGAAACATTATCATTTGACAAAAAATTTCAAGCGTTCTTTAATCTCCCATAAAATGAAAAGTTTTTACTAGATTAATAAGTCAACTGAGACCTCTTTAACTGATAAAGAATGGATAATGAAACATCTCAAAGCTAAACTTTTTAAAATTACCAGTACTCGATGATCAACGAGGATTAACTAAAAATCAAAAAGTTACCTTTCTAAACCAGAAGAATTGAGAATTTAGTTTTAAAGAATAGAACTGCCCCAATTGAGCAGTGCTGAATCTACTGGTAAGAAAAAAAATACAAGTTTCTTCGAAGAATACTGAATAACAATTTATATAAACCTTAGGCCGGCAGAAAATATATTATAGCACTATAAAATGATGCACTAAGTGATATTCTAAACTAAATTTTCAAGGCTACTCTCTCAGGATCCATCGCAAACATTACAAAACTTGAAGCCGGATTTTGCAGCAACTTGGGTCGCTTATTTTACGTTAAAATTGTATTTTTTCAGCTTGCCTACAAATTTTCTACAAATCTCATGAAACTTTGGTGGTTACAGCGTTTTACTACTTTTTTTTCGTCTTAACACTGTTTGACAAAAGTTATAACCGAAATAGAACTGAAACATGTAAAACACATTTTGTTTGCTTTACCGATAAGCTACCGAACGATTTCGAGTGAATATTTTAGTAGGAAAAGGTTTATTTTGACAAATTTATTAACTTTTCGTATCTCCAGCAACAACGAGAGTGATAAAAAAGCGCAGGAGAGTACGACAGAAGATACCACATTTGCCATCGACCTGCTTTTATGACCCTAATCCGTATATAATTGCCTATATTCTTTTCTCAATTTAATCACAGCCGATTAAAATTGGAGGCTAAAAATCATTTCATAGAAGGTGATCTTGCTGGGTGTCAAGAGCAAGTTATAGGAAGTTTTTTAAGCTCACTGCCGAACGCTGATTTCAATTAAAAGCGTTACCAGATTTGATGCTCAGTGATTGATTTTATTAAATTTTAATACCACTGAATTTGAAACGTCTCTTTCCGGAAGACAGTAAGACTTAAATTCAAATTTTTGAGTTTTTTTTAATGCTGAAGACCACTACGACGCTTGCCTAAGTTTACGACAATTGTTGTGTCAGACAGTGCTCTGTAACTAATTAATAGTTAAATCTCAAAAGTCAGAGCTCTACAAATTTGACGTCTGTATACCACCTGAAAACTGACACAAACACAAATTTATTGCTTTTTTTGCACAAAAAACTTGTCAAGAACAGGTAATATTTAGATGACAACCCCCAACCAGCTAACAAATTATCATTGCTTATTTCTCAA